AGGAATTCAGCCTTTCCAATTGATTCTGCACTTGAGTTAACCCTCTTGATTATCACCCAGCTTTTTGCTGTGGGCAGTGTTTTTAAGTATGGGCTAAATTCAGGTACTGTGCCAAGACATGTTACTTACTCAGTTGCCCCACTTACTTTCATGGGACTAAACATGGCATAGCACTGTGTGATCCAAGCGCCATCTGATACAAGTACAGATAGCAGAATCTGGACATATATTTTAGAGTTTTCAATCACATTCAGGAAGTTAATATGGCAGTCACCACACTAGTGTGCATCTCAGACATGTACAAAAATGATTAAATGACAGAGTAGTAGCCACTACTACTACCTGAGGCTAGGCACTATTGCGTCTGTGTCCAATCAAGGCAATTTCTTATTTCTATGCCTTGGAAAAAACATACTACTCTTCCATACAATTCCATGCAGAAGGCAACAGTTTCCACTGTGCAAGTCCTACCTCTGATTACAGATACCGTCACGCGGTTTTATCAACTGAGTAGCTGTCTGGCTGGAAAGAGTACAATGTAAGACCTCATTCATAAAGGAAATACATAAACCTTTCAACACCTTTTGGGTTTGCAGATGTCTCAACAAACAGGCCAAATTTCAAAAGAAATCTCCGTCGTAGGCTGGGAACAGCAGGCAGTAGGCACACGTTCAGCCTTTCCACCACGGTTGCTTTTTTTCAGTGCATTCCACACTGTTTGCTGTGTTTAACTCCCTTAAAATCACAATCCATACAGAGACACACAGAAATATTAAAAGTGGAGACACACAGAAGCATTAAAATTTCTCACGGACCAAAAAATGAAATGAGAATTACAGCTTTGCAGCTTTATGAAAATGTGACCTCATCTCTTTCACAGCCCTGGGTAGACTTAGACACTTGGAGACGAATTCATTAGAACCCATGTGAGGAAGGAAGCTAAGCAGGAGGGTAAAGCAAAGCCACAGTGGAAGTGCTCAAGGCCTCTCTCTGGATCAGGAAGGACACCTCTGCTTGCCAAAGATTTGAAACTGTACAGAATTGAATGGTTCGTGTCGATTTTGCTGCTGTGAACAGAAGCTTCACTGCTCGGTTGAGATAGGAGGGCTCTGTGTTCAAATTCTTTTCTCAGACCCCACCTTCCATGGCCTGGCTGTCTAGTGCCGGTAGTTCGGGGTTGGGTCTCGCAGTCATGTTTGGCGAAGGCGTTCTGTTTTGTGTAAGTCTTCAGTCAGCCAGGAGATAATGGTGGTGAGATCTGGGGATGGGAAATGGCCTAGCTGCACAGACAGAAAGTGATTTTGAAAATTTTTCCTTATTGTTTCTATTCACTATCCCAGTACAGGGATCCCATCCCCAAAATGCAGGGGGTTTGTTGCAGTGAATGGGTACCACCGCAGTGCTTCATCTGAGAATTTGTTTGTCAGACACAGATGCAGAATTTTCAATTTCTGCTCTTGCTCCAGTAGTTCTGTTCAGCAATAGGATTAAAAGATTTTTAAAAACCCAGAAAAATTCCAGGGGAATCTAACTTGTTTTGTTTGAACAAGGGCAGAGAGGTTTCTAATCTGCAGGAAACAATTAGGATGCTGGTTTGTACTCTAGCTCAGAGAGTGCGCCCAGTAAAATCTAACTACCGAAATAAAATACAAATACAACACAGGATTTGTAAAGGCACTGGCTTTACGGTGAGAACAGGAGAGCTGCATAACATTGCATAAATAGTTCCTAGCACTTGCTGTATGTACCTTTAGATGGAAGCCGAGACTTTTAAATTAACAGCCAAACCCAACAAAGATATCCTCAGCCTTCAGACCGTTTCTCTCACTGCTTTGCTTGCTTTCTTCCCACAGGTCAACGGGAAGGATTTATCTAAAGCAACACACGAGCAGGCAGTGGAAGCATTCAAAACAGCCAAGGAGCCCATTGTGGTGCAGGTCCTGAGAAGAACTCCACGCACCAAGGCCTACACTGCTCCTCACGAGTCTCAGCTGGTAGATGTGGGCACACAGACAGATATCACTTTTGAACACATCATGGCTCTAAGCAAGATGGGCTCACCTACTCCACCCGTCTCTGTGCTAGACCCTTACCTCCTGCCTGAAGAGTAAGTAACAGTTCGTGAAGCCCTTGAAAATCTTTGCGGTCCTTAACGTTGCATGTTAGAAAAGAGTTCCCAAACTCACCTTTACTGGCTGATGAATGTGTACTCCCAGAAGCAGCCAGGATTCATACGCCATTGAGCCGTAACTCAAAACATTTTCATTTTTTCTACACATTAGCAAGCCATTACTCACGTGTGTAATGCCACTGAGTCACAATGTGGCCTCATAAAGCTCTTTTTTTTTCTGGCATTTGATGGATAAAGTTATTGCTTCTTGTAATTCCTCCCACTGCCTCTTTTGGTTGCTTATGTTTTAACTTTATTTTTTATGGCTGCCATAAATTGTGTAATGCTAAGAGCTGCTACATTCTGTTCCAGTGTATTAATTACTTTATTATAACCCTGCAGCGATGTTACTCAAATAAATTATTTTCTAGGACTAAAATTACTTACCAGTGCTGTCATGGATGTTTTAGAATCAAATTTTAATTATTGTTAATGGTAGTTTGATGCTTTTGTACTTACAAATAAAAAGGACAATTATCTCCTGGCACACACACCCCCCCCCCTCACGCGCTGTTCAAGAGGAAAAGAGCCCCCCAAGGAACCCATGCAAATTGCCTGTCATCTTGCCACACATCTCCGCAGGGGAAAAAGTAATGCAAAGGATTCTGAATGTCTGGGTTGCTATGCGTGACAGACCATGGTCTGGTCAGTCCCCAGCAATACCTGCTTTTGAGATGCTCCTGTACCTGGGGAGAGGCAGTGCCAGTGTGTGCATGTCCTTGCTGCGTGGTACAGCTCTGGGGGGGAACCCCACAGACAGCCTGAGCTGTGAACATCGACCAGCACACAAACACACCCCAGCATGCCTCTCCGGACATCCCCGTCAGCACTCCTAGGAAATAGGATTGACTAGAAACAGGCACCAATCCTGTCCAGCTCCTAAGTGACTTTCACAGCATGTTAACGTTCACACATTCGGCCAGGAGCTGGGCTTCTGTGTGCAACATCGGCTCCTTTCGTGACTCAGGGCTGATTCCTTGAAGGAAGGTTCATCTGATACTACTGCATCGCCTCTTATTCCCAGCCCTTTGAAAATTCAAGCCCAGCTGCATGTTTTACGGAAACATTTCACAAAAGGCTATAGCTTTGAGCTTGTTTGCAGTGAAAATGCAACAGGGCTCAGAGCCCTGTGGAGGGGACACACGTTCCCAGAGCACCTACACCGCATACACCCAAACACATCTGCACGAGAGTCTTTCAGTATCAGCAAGTTTCCAACCGCAAAACCAAATCCATCAGAAAAATGGCAAAGATTAATTCCTCATAAATCATTTAGGTTGCAACATGCCTGCATAAATACCAGCTCAGTCCTATCAAGTAGCTTTGTATTGTCCCAGTTCCAACTGCTGGCATCACCAGTGGCCTTACTTGGAGCTGTTGGTCTAAACCACCTAGCCTGCCTCCCGGCTATCCCTATGTGCTAGAGCAGTCAGCTGTTCAAGTGTCCTGTCACCCAGCATGTGCAGAGTCATTTTTTCCTAGCCCTTCCTCTAACTTCTCCAAATCCCACTCACATTAATCTAGCCTGAGTATAACAACTTGGGTATCTTAAGCCAATTAGCAGATGCTGTCACATAAATACCCTCACACTTACAAAGAAACATGTTGTCTAGTTAACAGAGAATTAGAGGGAGTTTACTTTCATTGCAGAAAGAAAACTTCCAGCAGAGAAAAAAGCGATCACAAGAGCATTACAGTGCTTACAACTCCAAAGTACAGACAGTGAAACTGCCGGAGAGCTCAAGCTGTAAAAAGCAGCACGCCAGTAGTGAATGGCAATAGGAAGAGTAGTGCATATTTAGATAGTATTTAAACCATCATGCACAGCCCCTTGCATTCAAATAAGTCACCAGAATGCTGCTGATCCAAATAGTTGGGTGGCAAATTTTTTTTATAATACTTAGGAATTGATAAAGTGTTGGTGTCTTTAAGGCAGTGAAAATGCCAAGCAGTAGGCAAGGATGATTTTACTTTCATGTCTCCAAATAACCTGAGCTCACAGGTAAATGATCTAGTGATCCCTCCCACCCTGAGCCCTGCAAAACATCTCCCCACGTAGCTGTCACCGGTACCCCTTACCCTCCCTTTGCTGCTCTTCTCTCTGTATGTTTTTTCCCCAAGTCAGCTCTTCGTTAATAAATGCTAAAACTCTTTACGAGTCACTCATTCATCAGCAGGTGCCAAATGTTTTAGACTTCTCCTATAATACATGGAATTTTTGTTTAACACATTTATCGTTGTAAATAGTACAGTGTATGTAATTAACCACATGCAACTTCTCAGTTTGGTTGTTAGTCCACTGTGTTCACGATAACTTGCTAACAGCTTGGCTCGGGTTAATATGCTAACGAGAGTACTGGGTGCTGTCCTAAACACACCTTGTTTTTCCAGCCACCCATCAGTGCACGAATACTATGACCCAAATGACTACATGGGAGGGATTCATCAAGAAATGGACCGAGACGAGTTGGAATTAGAGGTACTTTGTCTTCAGTAACTATTTCATTTCCTACAAGTTTAACATCTGCATATGGTTGTATACAAAGTGAAAAGACACTGCAAGGCAGTTATTTGCAATAACATTGCTCGTTAGTTACTCTGCAGGTTGCAAACCTTCCTGATACCTTTAGCAGTGTATTCAACTATGTGCCACGGACTGATGAGCCGGATCTTCAGCTAACAAATTAACATAAATAATGAAGTCATTGATTCCATTAATCAAATTCTGTATAACTGTGCTGATTTAGACTTTCTGGAAATCTAAAAGACTTTCCAAGTTTGCTGAGTGGCAGGACCTGTTCCACACTTGAGAAATATTCCACACGAGAAACAGATGTTCTTGATCATATAATTTAGAAGTATTTTAAGTTTACAAGACAAGACAGAACAGATATGCCACTATACTGAGCTGTTCTTCCCTTTTTCATTCCTGAAAAGTTACATATGTGTACATATAAAATTATGTCTAGTAGAAGTTGAACCAGTCACGAAGGTATGCATGTCCATTTTCCTGCCAAATCTTTAAAAATCACTTCTGGTTTTAGTACTTGTATATCCCATCAGAGGTTCATCTTCAGTTTTCTCATTCTTAATTTTAATAGCCTGTTCCCAACCATTCAGATTACAGTATATAAATTGTGGGCCTTAGTGCTGCAAGATACTTAGGCAGTACTGACCCAGTGAAGTGTTTTTAATCATTTGTAATAAATCGCAGTAAAGTATCTCAGTACTTCCAAACACTGCCAGCACTGTCTGACCCAGCTAATCCATTCAAGATTATCAGTAAGTGAACAGTTTACTTTTAGCTTGCTTGCACTTCTGATTTCTTAGATCCTGGTCCTGCTAACGCTTATTTGTCAAAGCAAGCCATGCTGACCTGTCTGTAGCGCTGCTTAAATCAGTGGTAAATTTATCAGCAGCTTCAATGGGAGCAGAGTTCAGTTGTTCTACGAGCACAAAGTTGTGCCCTTCTATAAAAGTGTTTGCAGGATCAAGGACTAAAGTCCCATAAAAAAGTTTGCAAGCTGTTCTCAAATTCTGCAGATCTGGTAGTAATTCATCTCTGTATACAAACGCAAATCAAAGTCAGGATAAAATCAAAGTGCCAATAAAACAAATGCCATTTCGCAGACTTCAAGGCCTTACTTTTCAAACAAGTGCCTCTTTTTTTTTCTTAAATAAAAACAAATACCATATAGATTTCAGTCTTAAGGGAAAATGTAGAACAAATTAGTATTTTCTGCCAGTGTCTTTTCAAAATCTATCTTTTAGGAAATCTAATATTGTGGATAAATTATATTGCTTCCATTAGAAGGTCAACCAGTGAGCTGAAAACACTTTAAACACATGCACTTCAGTAGCCAGAAGTTAATATGCCTTAAATCACAACATTAATAATTTTGACATTGATATAGTACTTGATGGCAAAAGGTGATCAGCTCAGTAACACAGAGAGATGAACATTAGAAAAGTTTCTGTAGCCTAATAGTATTTGTTAAAAACCACTAAAGATTCCTGTTCAAGTCGTAGAGACTATGATCAATGGTAAGGTCAAAGTGCTAACAGGGACTCAACTGGCTAGTTGCTTTTCTGTTTGCCTTTTGATAGATATGTTTTAAATACCACAAAGGCACTGTTTCATTGACTGCAGCAGGAACGGCTAAAGTAAGACAGCCATCAAGTCAGCCTTCTGGGCTTCTATGCCCATAAAATGTGCTTTGAATTTAAATCAGAAGCTCCTCATCTAAACTTTTATGGTCTATAACTGACTGGTTAGTGATTTGTTTCAAGTAAACAAGACAAAACCAGTGAAATAGCTAAGTTCACAAGCTTCTAATGTAAATATCCGTAGGAAGGAATTTATGCTGGCAGTCTTGCCGAGACGCCAAAACTGTGTTCTCAGTTTTATCTCTCAACGTTTATTTTTAAATTGATGACTCAGAGGTAATGGCCATATATCCCCTACTACAAAAATAAATAAATATAATTGCTTTTATTTTGAAGTTCACATGCCACAAGGAAAGAGGGACTAAATCCTGAACTACTGTTTTATTATAAATTAAAAGTATGCTCATTCTTCACAGAGACCAAGTCATTTCAGGTTCATAAGGGAAGAATAATGTCACTCCAGGATTCCCCAGCAGCGTTACGCGTTAGTGTGTTTATTCAAACAAGTCTGTCCAGCTGTCAGACACACAGCCCGAGTGGGGGCTTTCTCAGCGAGGTGATTTTCTCAGATTACAAAGGAGAACATTCTACATCAAAAAGGGAGCTTGTTCTCTCACATTTGACTTTCTGTCTTTTCCCTTTCCTATATGCAACTTGTATGTAGGTCTTGCTTTCTTTCCAAGTAGAGAACTGAGCTGAACTCAGCTGAACACCTGGTTGAGACTCAGTACAGCTTGGAGATGAAAATCTACATGAAGTGTTTGCTAACAGCTAAGAAATCTCCCTTCTCATACTCTCACTCAGTCCTGGACAGAAGTGAGATCTCCACATCAAAAGACTGAGGAAGGACAAGAGACTCATTCCAAGGGCTTTCTGACCTCCCAGCACTCAGCTCTTGCGCAGTGCTCCCAGCTGATCAGCAGAAGACGAACGTGCTGAGCACCAAAAGCCATGCTTCAAAATTTGAAATGAATACTTCACTACTTTTAGGAAACATAAGTGAAAGCTGAACATCAAGGTTTTGAGCTCTCCCCTTTGGTTGAAAGTTTTGTTCCACCTGTCCAATAATCTATTTGCAAGGCAGGAGAGGAGGCGAGAGGTGACTATTGGAATATGGGAATCCGTAGGCTCCGTCACAGGCACTCTGCAATTTTTATTCCATCCTGGTTGTAAAGCATTTGAAAGCATTTTATGTGAATATATTTTTTCTCAATGAAAACTCCCACTCTGCAGGGAGTTGCACTGATCAGGAGCTTCTCAAGGCATTAATGTGTCTCTGAATACAGAACACTCTGCTTTGCAGTCCTGCTTAGGCAGGGATTGAATATGGAAAGGTTTAAAAAGCAGTACCTTCCTTTAGCTTCACAACTGTACTTTCCAAGACAAGTATCTGTATATCCTTTGTTTGGAACAAATCCAGAGGTGGTAAAACATTTCAACTTGCTGACGAGCTAATACTGAAAGGTTGTCCTCGCCTAGCTCTCTGGAGGACTTCAACCTGGCCTTAACACCTCTTACTGCATGAGCAAGGTCTTAATTGCGAACTCTTGGCCATCTGCTTGGCAAAGAGCCTGGGCATCCTTCAAGTTCCTTACTTAGGCATCCTAAACACTTTTCATCAGGGCGAGAAGAACTTTTCTTTAGCCTTCCCTAGCACCACCGATGACTTAGGCTGGTCCAGTCTCCACTGTCCAGCAGAGAATTACCATCATAGAGCTGGGCTGGCACAGAAACCTCCAGGTAGACTTTTACTTCTTTTCTAGGCAAAGAATTTCAGAACAAAAACCTGTTTTATAAATTTTTCTTCTCTGAAAAGTGAAGAGCTGGAATTTTTGCTTTTTACCTGTGTTGCAAATCACATTCATGTGGAAAGACAAATATAAAGATCACTTTTTTGAGCTTCAAGACAGCAAGAACAAGATTTTTCTTCCTCCTATACCAGGGTCACTTGCCAAAAGGTAGTGAGAAGGCCTCACACAGAATAAAAGCAAATAGTTCTTTATATTCATTTCCCTGACATTTTTTTCTGGGTGAAATCTATTAATGGAATAGCAAAAAATTGGGCCCTGCATTTCAGGTATGTTGGAAGCCTGCATAGAAAAACCCCACCACTTCTTACAGAGAAACAAAAGGTCAGAGTACTTATCATGCAAGCTTTGGGTAATGCTTTCTGAATGTCTGAATTTTTTTTACCCATCGTCATCTCATTTCAGATTTCTACTGCTCATTTCTGTCTTGTTAGAGAAAGGACTTTGATTTTTATAAATTCACAGGCAGGCCATAATTTTAAATCAGCAGTACAATAATTCAATAATCTCTTGCAAATGAAGGATCTCCTGAGCTTATAGAGGTTAATTTACTATTATCACTTACTCCTAATTCATTATTATGAGTGGTTGCAGGCATAATGCCACAGTGCACGTTCGTTTCTTCTTGTCTTGCTACAAATGCTGTATGGATTTCAGCAACCAGCTCTTTGACCCCTCCTTGGCTCTATGTGTGACACGGAGCCAACAATCTTTCGGACAGTTCTCTTGCGCAGACTCTATTTTGAAATAGCGTACAAATACTTCTCCTGAACGTCTCTCAAAACGTCACTCTTAACTGATCTAAAGAAGCAGATTTTAATGTATCTGTGTGTGTAATAGTTCATACATGACATTTTTACAATTACAATATTAACACAGCCCTGACATTACCACACACTGTAGACAGCACCATTGCCTGGCAGCTAATATCTGCAGATCTACTCTGGGTGTTGAAGAACTTCAGATTCTCCCTTCTGCAGTGTAGGTGGCTGATACATTTCCTATTATTTTATACAGCATTCACTACCATAGTATCTGAGCCCCAGTTGAGTGCTGAATGTATTTCCATCTCAAGGCTGTAGAGCACACCAGACGAATGTGAAAGAGCACGCGCTGGCAGCTCCCTGGGAGCATCCAGCTGTGGCTGAGCAGGCGGTGGCTGCTCTCTGCAGGAGCGCAGAATGCTGCGGGCTCACAGCATTGGGCCCTTGGGCTGTCCAGAAGTGAAACGCTGAAGACAGACAAGTAAGAAACGGCAAGTCCTTTGGCATCACAAATACATCAACTTGCACTTTCAAAGTTCTAGGCCCATATTAATTCCTAGTGTTTAATTAATTCTGCTGCAATTACACAACCTGCTGTAATACCTGTACTTGCAGGTGCCAATTTTCTGTTTTCCCCTTTCATGTATCATGCATTATACAGACATGACTGAATATGGAAAATAACCTTTGCTTTGAAGACTCCGATGCTGATTCTTCAACTCCAACTGGAATTGCACGCTTTTATCTTTCAAATATTTCAAACCTTAATGATTGTATTAAAACTTCACTGACGCAAAGACCCACAGAAAGCAGCTGTTCCTATCTTTAAGTTCACAAAATTATCATATTTGGGTAGCATCAAACCCATTTATTCTCTTCCTACTAAGGAGTAGAGGGATTGTACCCAAGGGTAGGTCTGTCAACTCATTACTCATAAAAATTCAGGTTCTAAACATCTGCTCTAAAAATTCTTTGCTTTGCTTTAGCTTTTTGCTGCTTTGTAAGTGTATTTTTAAACAGTAAGTATCTGTTTTCCTTTTAAAATGTATATTACTTATTTACCAGATGACTTATTACCTTCTAGTGTATCACAGGTGATGTCTCGGATGGTGCATTTTAAATATAAACCCATACTTATTTTTTAACTATTATAATACCCTTTATAGTTGTACAGTGTTGGGAAAACAGCTATTGTTATTCAAAACATGTGGCAGGTAGGAACAGAGCAATAGCTTGCTCCCTCCTCTCATTCTGCTCAAAAGGTGCTGGCAAGTGTGTACAGTTACACAGGATCTATTTAAATAATGGCCAAAGTCACCAGGCCTTTTTGTTTGGTTTTGTTGGGTTCTTTTAACATTAGATGTATTTTCACTCCCAGTGTGACAAACAGGAGAATGAGCTACAGCACTAATTTCTTGCCACTACTTCACTGCCATGTTTTCAAATCAAGAAACTATATAGACACTTCCCACGAGACATGAAATCTTTTTGTTGAAGTATGCAGGTAATACAGAAATCATTCTAGGCCTGGATTAGGCCCAATTCACAAATTCCCACCTCATCCCCAGTGCACACCATGATTAAATGCAGAATAAACACATTGACTGCTGTGGCGTTCCCAAGGATCAACCAAGATCAGAACTGAATCCACTTTGTCTCATCTTTTCTTCTGAAGAAATCCCATCTCCTTTCTAGAAAGCACCAAAAGCTTTAGAAATCTGAAAAAAAACCCCACTATTAAAGCATTGTGTTCAAACCTTTAGGTAACAAAAGAGGAAGAAAAAAGAGCAGCAGTTCACGGTGGATACTATTGACTGAAACCATTTAAATACCATCTGAAATGTCACTGACATTTACAGCTATGTTTCTTTTTAAAAAAAAAAGAAATTACACATGTTGACAAGTAAATAACATGAGATTGCTGATCTTGGCAGCTGTCATCTAGACATGCCAATAAATTATTCATATCAGCTTGTTTTATTGTCTTGGCCCTTACAAATGGCACAGCGCAGGTCAAAACAGAGAGACGATCAGAAATAATGAGTTGTGTTATCAGGACGTTTCCCTGGAACGGACGCTGCAAGCACCAGCGCGGTTCATGGGCTGCCCTGGGGCTGGGACAGCCCTCGGATCCCGCACAGCTCTGCCCCCTTTCTCAGCCTGCGCCCCTTTCCCCCTCTTTTTTCCCTGTGCAGCAAGGGGGCTCACGCCCCACAGCCGCTGCCTCCATCCTGCCTGGCCTTAGCTGCAGAGGAGGGAGCGGGACCTTTCAAAGCCTCACTCACTGCCAGGCACTGCTGAAGGGGAGTAAAAACCACAACTACGCTTGGTTGTACACCTCCACCTGTGAAGAAACACCCTTCCTCCCTGCGGCAGCACCCTCAGGGCTGACACAGCAGTCACAGTAAGCTGGTTAAGCACGTTAAGGCTCCCGGGACGTCCCTCGGAAGCAAGAAGGCAGAGCCAAAAGACGCGACATGGATGGTTACACAGCCTGCACGCTGGCCCGGAGCGTCCCACAGCTTGTGGGCATCTCCGCGGATTTTACAACCCTTTATACCAACCAGTGCCACAGAGCAGCAGCAAGCGTGGGAAAGGAATAAGCCAGGTGAAGTCTGTGTGGCAAAAGGAGAAAAGCATAGGGGAGTACCGTATTGTTAAGATGGTTTAAATGTCCCCAAGACTAACAAGACCACCAAAGAGCAGTAGAATGACAAACCGTGACCTGCTGAAACCAAACCCTTGCGAGGTCCTGAAGTTCTTATTATTTTTCTATTACCAATACTGAATGCTTTGCTGACAATATATTGATCTTCAGTCACAGTTTTGAGAAATTTATTACATCATTTCATAAAAATTACACAGGTTAATGTAATGGAGTATTATATTTTTCTCTGAAAGGCCAGAAAATTTCCCTGCTTATAAGGAAATATATATCAGCTGTGGCAAATATTGAAATCATACTTTATAGGTATTTTAGCATTTGAAGTCTTAGCACTACATGAAATACAGGTAATTTTTCTTCTTTAAGATCAATAAAAGGTCTGTTTTCAAAATGACTTGATATTGACTGAAGGGTCAAAAACGCCCCAGGTATTGATTGTCTGCATATAATCACGTTTTGCTCAGTAAGTTAACTGCGTCTACAAGCGAAATGAAAAGAGATCCACTATATCACTTAAACAAAATATTTTCATTGTATTTGAAGAATTGTTTCCATCAGTCACCAGTGTCTCGCTGACAATGTATTTTCTTTTTTTAACTGCAGGAAGTAGATTTACATAGAGTGAACAGCCAGGACAAGCTTGGCCTCACTGTATGTTACAGAACGGATGATGAAGATGACATGGGTATTTATGTGAGTGAGGTGAGACTGAGCAGATTTCCATAAGATACACTTTGTCTTTTAAACTGCAGCGTTGGTCACTGAAGACATTTGTCTTCTGTCTGTACCATGTTTAAGTGCAGTCAGAATGCAGTAATTGGAAGAAATCTAATTACTTTTCCTTGTCTCCAAATGGAGTGAAATCCTGCATCCACTGAAATGGAACTTTGTTCTGGTAACATTTAGTGTCCATCTTTCGCCTAATGCCATCTCAGCATTCAGTTTCAGATGACGTTTTCATAGTATTTTTAATGTACTCCGCCTTTAATTTTTTCTCAATTATTCCATAAACAATATAAATGGGAAGAAAAACAGACATGTTTTTATTTGCAAAGATTTGGAGGCTCTTGTCTCTCTTTTCCCCCTGTCATGAAACAAGCAGCGTTTTATAGGTAATCTTTTCATCGTGCAGCTCCTTTAAAAATCAGTAGCAGCAGTTTGGGGAAAAACCTCATAACTACATATAAAATGTTCTATTGAAATGCATCAATTCAGACATAATCCTTCCTGTTCTGGAGGCAAAACCTGGTTCTCATCAGAGCACTGTGTTGTAAAGCAAATGGTTAAATTACGAGGTAATGATACCATGCAAACATGATAAACCCACGTTCTCTGGAGACACATCTCAGGGAGAAACGTTTTGGGTTTGGCTTGATGGTTTTCATTTCACTTAGACATAAGCAAGAAGTCCTGTGTCACTAAGCGAGATGTAACGACCACAGATAGAGCAGCAGCGACAGACCACCGACTTACAGTATCAGCCATATTACCAATTCTGGGTTTACATCGGGAAGTAAATACTGAGCTCTCAAAAGCCCAGAGCGCTCACAGTTCTCTTCTTTTGCAGATTGATCCCAACAGCATTGCTGCAAAAGATGGTCGACTCCGAGAAGGGGATCGCATCATTCAGGTACATGTGTAAATGGTGGAAAGTGTGCTAACGCACGACAATCTGCCACAATGTCTTTATTTCAGTATATTTTTACAAATCATTCCCTTCAGGCACATATTCATACATATAACTTTCTGAGAATATTTCCCTTTCCTCTGCCAAATCTCAGTCAGATTTTGTTAGTCCTGGCCAGATAAAGCCCTATATTGGCCCTACTCTGCAGGCTAAGCGCTTTCTCTGCAGATGTCAGCTGTTTCCAGCACATATTCTGATACTCTTCCACTTCTAAGGCTTCGTTCTACCCCAGAAACCCTCTACTTTGGCCCATACAATTATGTCTCTTTGCAGAATCTCTCCAGGCAGCCCTGTTTATTCACAGGGATGATCAGCAGGCTGAACACCACTGCTGTGTGCTGGAATGAGTCGTCTTCCAAGCGCAACACTCCCGCACCATAGGGGCTTTGTCAGACGTGGTCTGTCTTTGCACAGCCACTAACACGAGTAGAGGTCCACATCCCAGTCAGTCTCCGGGACCAGCCTCACCTGCCTCACCTCACAAGGATATTCCTGCTTCTTTCCACCCAGACCTGATGTTATGGTTCTGTTCCTGCCCCACTCTCCCTCTCCAGTTTCTATCATTGAACAACACGCTTGCCCAACACCCGCCTGAACAGCACGGCCGGAAACGCGGCCAGGGACTGTGCGGGGATCTATCCAGCTATGCAGTTCTGTAGAGCCCCTCAGCAGCATTTCAGTATCCCTATGAAAGGATTTCATGCTATTGCTCTTTTCTTTAAAGATCAATGGCATAGAGGTACAGAACCGAGAAGAAGCTGTGGCACTTCTCAGCAGTGAAGAGAGCAAGAATATCTCCTTACTTGTTGCAAGACCAGAAATTCAGGTACTGTCACAACCACAAACCAACCCTCTCTTGAGTCTGCATTAAGAGTTGAGTTCTGTAGAAAGCGGTTAGCATCTTTTGAAGATTTTTAACCTACCTAAATCTACCTAAAACCATATTATACAGTTTGACTGGAGATATATATGGTCTAAAATAATGGAATTCAGCCGTCACAGTACTTACATATACATTTTATATTAAAGTTCAATTTATAAGCTGCACAGAGATTTATGTATGCTGCAATGCTATTCCAAGCATCAGTGCAAGGTATTATGGATGGCTTCAAGCCATAACTTTGAAGAACATACTGAACTCTAATTCTTACATCTATTGATTATTTATTCATTAAAATACCTATTATTTAGCCCTTTATACACCATCTCCTAATGCAGTTAAATACTGTCAAGAAGAATCCTCAGCTGCAGTAAAAGGTTGAACCAGATCCCTTAATAGAGCAGGGATTAGCACAACAAAGGTGCTGAGCAAACAGCCATGAGCACTATTGTTTGACCTGTCTCTGGTGCTGGGAGAGCAGCCCTCGCCAAGGCACCTGCGGATGCAGGGTCAGGCTCAGACGCCTGTTAGCCTAGGTGTTTCTGATCTTGCCCTTGGGGGTAATTGAGGCTGGGAGTCAAAAAGTCTTACAGACCCCTGGCAAGCATTTTTCCCTCTGGCCGTTGATGCTGCCTTGCAAGTGGTGCCTTCAAGCTTTGGACTATGCAGCATTTTTCTACATCCTAATCAACTGGCACACAAACCAAACCAGCCCCAACCCTAGGAAGTATTTCCATGGGTGAAAAGGCTGGTTTTGTTTCATATATAAGGGCTGTTGAAGATAAAACCATGCTGGGGAGATGGAGGCAGCTGGGGGAGGTAGGACAGCCAATACCCACACTTAGCACAAGGAGATGCGTGCTCCTTCGCAGGGCACAGCAGCCCTGTCATGGGAAGGGATCTCCTAAGAGTTCCCATTCACTTTCCACAAAGAAGGAACATAATTTATGTCAGTCTTCATTCTTTTGACAACATGCGGTTTGATTTTTCCCTCCCTTTTCACATAGCTGGATGAAGGATGGATGGATGATGACAGAAACGATTTTCTGGATGACTTGCACATGGACATGTTAGAGGAACAGCACCACCAGGCAATGCAATTTACTGCCAGCATGCTTCAGCAGGTACTGCCAGTCTGTTGTACAGTGGTGTCAAAACCACACATGGCACTCAGTATTCCAGTACTGAGCCAGACTGAATACACTTAGTGTCTCGAATGACGATCACGGCAAAAGGACTTTCTTTAAAATCAAGATCTTAGATGACTATCCACAACTTCATCTGGGGGACCAAAGTGTTTTCAAACATCACCTTTTTTATTTTGTCCCGTACAATATCATAATCACAGTTCTTAGAAATCCACCATCCTGGCTGCGGTCACTGAAACAAGGACAAGCTAGGTGTGTGATAGATAAAGCAGGCAGAGGGCTGACTTAGGCAATTCCCTATCTGATACGCATGCACAAACTGAAAACAGCCTGCCTCCTGGAGAACTCAGGCAAATGACAAAATAAAGTCTACTTATGGGGAGAAAGACAAAGATAAAGGTTTTTAAATAGCAACATTTATGCAGGGCCACAGATTTGGACCTGTACTAATCATTCTGCCATGATTAATGCAGTCAGACAAGTTCACGAATAGATTTTCAAATTTTGCCTAGAGGGTTTTTTTTGAGTTTTCTACAATTCCACATCCTCTGCAGGAGCCACATTTTCTGAAGGGACATATTCCCACTTTGGCACCACAGTGGAAGTGGATACTTTTGTGTATCCAGTAGGAGAATAAAACAATGTGGAATTGTGACTTCTATCATTGTTGCCATATAACTGAAAAACAGACCTCAGGTTCTTCTGCAGAGGTCATCCACAGCATGCTGTGTTTTCAGTCACCATTCCTATGGGTTCTTCATAATAGTCTTTCCGTTCACATAAAAGACAAAGATGCAGAAAGTGCAACAGGTGACAGATTAAGAAAACTTAAAAGATAAACACCCTGAAATATTTCATGCCTTGCAATAATTTCTCTTTCTGTCTTTTCCTTTTTGCTGTTAGAAGAAACACGAGGAGGATGGAGGTACCACAGACACAGCCACTATTTTATCTAACCAGCACGAGAAGGACAGCGGCATGGGGCGCACAGATGACAGCACTCGCAACGATGAGAGCTCCGAGCAGGAAAACAATGCGGATGATCACACCACCTCCTCCAACACTTTAGGGAGCCAGAAGAAGCTGACGTACAGTCATGACACCCTAGGAAGTGGGGATATGCAGTTCAGCAATGAATCATTTATCTCGGCCGACTGCACAGACGTCGACTTCCTTGGCATCCCCGTAGACGAATGCGAGCGATTCCGGGAACTGCTGGAACTGAAGTGCCAGGTGAAGTCTGCCAACCCGTACAGTCTGTATTATCATAACAGCACACTGGATATGAGCAAAAGCGACCAAGAAAGTGTTGACAGAGAGCTGGAGATGCTGAATGAGGAGCTGCGCAATATCGAGCTAGAGTGCCTGAATATTGTGAGAGCTCATAAAATGCAGCAGCTGAAGGATCAGTACCGGGAACCCTGGATGCTGCATAACAGCGGGTTCCGCAACTATAACACAAGCATCGACGTTCGCAGGCACGAGCTCTCAGACATTACGGAACTCCCCGAGAAGTCTGACAAGGATAGCTCGAGCGCGTATAACACCGGTGAAAGCTGCCGAAGCACACCACTCACGCTGGAGATTTCCCCTGACAATTCGCTGCGCAGAACTGCGGAAGGCATTAACTGTCAAGGTAATGAGGGGGCAGTGGCATATAATGTCTCCCAAAAGAATTTATACGCTAGCTCAGAAAGCCATGAATCCAGCACTGCTAAATGCCATGCCTCTGCTAAAGATCCCGACCTTGGCAAGCAGCCGGAAAGCAAGGAGAGAAAAGCCAGTGATGGAAGCAAAAGCCCTACTCATGGTCAGAAACCTTCTGGCTCCTACATCTCGCCGTACCATCACTCTCCATATAAGCATGCTCATATTCCTGCCCACGCACAGCACTATCAGAGCTACATGCAGCTGATCCAGCAGAAGTCAGCGGTGGAGTACGCACAGAGCCAAATGAGTCTGGTGAGTATGTGCAAGGACTTCAACTCCAGCCAGAGCGAGCCAAGGATGGAGTGGAAAGTCAAGGTCAGAAGCGACGGGACACGCTACATTACCAAGAGGCCAGTCAGGGACAGGCTGCTGAGAGAACGTGCCATAAAGATTAAGGAGGAGCGCAGTGGTATGACTACCGATGATGATGCCATAAGTGAAATGAAGATGTGAGCGGAAGCAGCATTTAGTGAAAGCGAAGGAGCAGAGGAGGCGGCGTGAGTTTATGATGCAGAGCAGGTTAGATTGCTTAAAGGAACAGCAAGGTGCAGAAGAAAAGAAAGAGATGAATATCATTGAACTGAGCCACAAAAAAATGATGAAGAAGAGAAATAAAAAAATATTTGACAATTGGATGACAATCCAAGAACTGCTAACCCATGGCACCAAGTCACCAGACGGCACACGGGTGTACAATTCCTTCCTGTCAGTGACTACTGTATAATCACCATTGCTAAATTATGTACAGAACACACTACCATTGGGGTAGAAATCAATGCCTCGTTGAATGTGGCAAGATTTTTGTATATAAGATGCAGTCGTCAAGTTTATAGTTCAAATACTGAACTCTGCAACTGTGGGTGCTGGGATCTCCATTATAAAGTGGAGAGGAAGCCTGCCCATCTCCCTCAAAGGCAATATTAGCAGTGCTTTTTGGAATACTGATTGTACTTTTTTACTTGTTACCTTTTACATGAAAAGTTTAAATACCAGAAATGTATTAACCATACTTACACAGGTAATTTGCTTAAACTATATTAATATTAAAAGGTACCCGTGCTTTTCTTTACCTAAAAAAATATGCAAAAAACCCACAAGAGCAACTGCACATACTTTTTTGTGAAACCACATTTTGTGATATTATTTTGCTGTTGTTCACTTTTACACAGAGTGCTGTTTATCAATATTTAGCTCAAGGTTTAACCTCAGACTCATTCTTATGTAACACTGAACATATATCAAACGGCAGTTTTTAGAGTTATGCTCAACATTTAAACATTTTTCTTTTTAAGGTTTCTGAAGAAAGTATATAGGTTTCATCTGAAAAGCCTGAAGCAAAGTACACTCTACTACAGCTTTAAAGGATTTTAAAGCATGTTTGCAAATGTTGCAACCTTTTGAAAAAATGTGCATGTACAGCTAATTTGTTTATATAAGACAGTTTGTGGAATTTGAAAAGCCCATGGTAGTAACTGTTTGCTTTATAGATTTGAATGTATTGAATTATAAAAGCAGTTTCATGAAACCATCATTAGCTACAAACGTTAACAAGTAAAATGAAGCAAAATAAATTATTGTTTTATATTTCAAACTCTCTTAAATTCTTTTGAATCCCTTCTGGTTTCACCACACAGAGTATTCTTTCCTCAAGCGTAGCTCCTGTGTGCAGAAACACCTGGACAACCTGCCAGAGTCAAACCCAGCAGAACAATCTGCATCCTGACGTGGGGGAAATTTGGATTGAGGTTTTCTTGAGGGAAGGAGAGATGGAGGGAAGAGGCAAGAGAGAATTACAAGGAATATCAAGAGTAGAATCAAGCAATGTGTACCTTCAACTCAAGGCATTTAAGATGACCTGTAGGCAAGAAAGAAATAGGACCTCTGCTTTCCTGTTCTGCTTTGTTTTGTCGTTTCTTAGCGGTATGTAAAACCCACCTACAGGCCTCAGTGTGGGTTTGCATTAAAAAGAGACAGTACACCAGTTAAAGCATATGTAATTTAAAACAAATAAGTATATAAGTTAAAAGAAATGGTGAAAAAACACAAAACCTAAATGTCAAATAGGTATCACTCCTTTTCTTGTTTTCTATTTTGGATTAAGAATTCAGATATAAATTGGAATACTCTGCTGGATTAAGTAACAGATTCATGAATAGCTGCCAGATCCTCCATCCCCTCTCCCTTTTCCCTTGCCCCCACAGAAAACTTGCTCCCAAACCCTCCTAAATTTTTGTTCTGGACTCTTCTGTCGTAACTATACAGAGCAAAAATTACAATCTTAATCATAGAAGTGGAAAGTTGGAACAGAGAGATTAACAGCTTCTTCTCAGTGCCTATTTTGTCGGTTACCAAGAAGCAAACAACAGACTTGTTTGGGGTTTTTTCCACTCCCTTTGTGGACTAGCACTGAATCAGCATTGAATGTCTATCTGCCGTATTCCACAGTAAACTTTTACATACCCGAAAATGCATCTTCAGCCCATGTAAATTGTCACTGCCCCTTGATATCTGGCACTCATGTCAATAAACCTCTGTAAATTTGTCTTCAAACAGGATTTTCTTGTGGGATTAAGCACTAGTCCTACTGTAGCCTATGAAAGATTTTCTGTTGACTTTGTTAGAGCCAGGATTTCATCTGACATACTACCAGTCATTATCATCACAAGTGATATGGTAAGAAAAACATATGATTTTCACAACACACTTTCAATGTGAGATGCTTGCTATCTCTGTCTCCAATGTGCTTTACTCTGTGTGCATCTCAGTGGCAGGTGTGAGAGCCATAGCAAAGCACTGCCTCTCCTGAAGTTCAGAAACTGAGATGCACAGGCGCAGCTACAATTAATGGGGAATCACAGCCCTTAAACCAGGCATGAAAAGACAATTAAGCCATCTTTATTCTACCTGGAAATACTAGAGTAAGGTTTGAAATGCTCTGATGAGGAAGAATTACCAAGGTTTTACTCGTAAGAATAGGCTCCTTTGGAATAAGTTCACAGGTAACAAGTTCCTGTAGGCATCCGTTATGTAAATGCTGAGCACTGTATGCATGCCTGTAACAGCAGAAACGTATTTGGGTATTCAAGTTTGATGTGTAGAAATTACACCAAAGCATCAACAGTATAAAATTTACGTTCTTAAAGATGTTGAAATAAAATTATTGGCCAAGAATTATTCTCACACCTTTGAGTTTTTCCTCACTAAGCATTTGTTGTTATTTTGGTTAGTTAAAACATCACCTCCCTCCTTTGGTATCACGATGTATTAAGTAGCATCATGTCCCAGAATCCATCAGTTATCCTGGAAATCGAGGCAAAAGCTTTGCAAACTGCAGATTTTCCTCTTCCTTTCTCAGTTATCACACATTTTTTTTCATTACCTTATCGAAGTACTTAATGTGGTGGTAAAAAGGAAGATTTTGGGTCTTTTTATTGCTTGCAAGGAAACATTGGAAATTGCCATAACATTAGTCCAAACCTGACCTCGTTACAGTGAAATGAATCAGCCTAGAAAGCAGCCTTTGGCGTCCAAGAGGAAATACTTCATCCAACAGCTTCTCTAAAAATTGCATTATAGCTCATACCCCAGTTCTTCAAAGATAACAACTGAAATGGCCGTTTCTGGCAGGACATCTCATGTCAGAAACCTCCGTGCAACACTGGAGATCCTGTCTCCTGTGTTACTACAGGCTTTACCTGAAACCCAGGGCTCTCCCCCAACTGCTGCTTAGCCCTGCAAAGCAACAGCCATCCTCACAGCCTGGGCACAGGTCCCGCCCCCCAGCAAGGGCCTGACTCACTGTGGCAGGTTGACCCTGGCTGGACACTCAACTTCAATCCCAGTTGCTCAGAATCCTGCAGGGATCAGCACTGGGAGATGTGCTCCTTGCACTGGGGAGACATTCCAAGTGGTTTTTGAAATTCATTTAAACCTGGAAGGAGCTAAATGAAGTGTTGCTCACCTGAAAGTACAAATCTCCCATTTCCATTCTCCTCCTTTTCCCTTCCTTCTCAGGCAATTTACAGAGTGTAACCTCACGCTCAAGTGATAATCCATCCCAGAATAGTATGCAGGGAGAGATCCTAAATGTAGGAAGGGGAACAGGCTACTGCCAAGCAGCCCGGGAGGTTTCCCCAGAGCCTCTTACAGAGCCCGTGTGCACAGCTCCCTGGAGGCTCACACTGCCCAACACCCATCTCTGCTTTTGCCATGGTACCGAGACAGTTACAGCCCAGCACCTCAGTCCTCATCCTACAGGGTTAGGCAAACCAGAGACAACAATGGGACGCCCTGGATACAGGTTGGTGCAGAATTTGGCCTGATTCTTTGCAATAAAAATAGGCTGTGTCAAACTGGGGTCAGTTTCCCTAAATTGCAGAATGTCTCCCAGATGGAATATCTGAAAATGTAAAATACTGATTTGCAAATAGGGTTTAAATCAGCGTGGAATCACCCAGCTTTAGATGTGCACCGAAATGGGAAAGCCCTGAACCAAACCTAACAGCATTTTTTTGTAAATTAAAAGAAGAGAACTTGCACATTAGTGATGGCAAATAAAATGAGGTAAGACTACATATTGCCTAGGGACTACTGGTTGGAGAACTAATTAGGATTATAAACTGAAAGTATGTAAATTAACCAAATATAATTATCTGCTAGTGGCCTTTGCAAATAGGTTACAGGATACTTGTTAGCAAAATTGCCCAAATGCCTGGAAGCCATACAAAGCAAGCCATAAGCAATTTAAACTCTGTTGTATTTTCAATTGTTTTTAAAGCAGCTGTTGTATTAAGGATTTATTGGAACATAGCTAATTAGAGGGAAAACCCAAAAACTAAAAGTAAGAGAAAATGACACAGCAGAGGCTGTACCTCCACGCCGAGGCTCCTGGTGTTATTAAACGTATATTCTTTAATGTGACAAAATAGCAAATATTCTGCTTGGGGTTTCATCCCAGCAGCTTCCTTTCTCCATCAGAACAGCTTCTGTGAGCTCCCAGGGAGAGTTAATCTGGAAGTGGTGGCTTTCTTGGATGAGTACAGCTTCTCAGCTGCACAGGGTTTATGGAGATGTGTTCACTGTTCAAATGCAAACAGGCAGAATTAACGCCCCTTTTCTCTAAGCGTCTGGCGTGACACACAGTGGTACTAGATTCAGGGGCTTCTGTGGCGAAAGCTGCTCACTCCCAGCTCACATCATCAGAAACACGAGATTGGCTACTGGAAAGACTGATGGTAGTTGAGACAGTGATGTATATTGTACATAAAAAAAATAAAGGGGGTAGGGAGAGGGGACGGGGTCACAACTAAAGGTTGGCTGGGCTGATTCCATGCTCAAGCATGAGGGCCTTAGTACACAGGGCTGACAGCCCAATTACATGAGCTGAAAGACTCCAAGCAATCTCAGAGGATTTGAAAACAGACTGTTAACTTACATAGTTAAAGTGTACTAGTGAAGAGTATGAAGAGAAGGGCCATCACAGCGTTGCGCATGGGAGCAGAACTTGATTTTCTGCTGCTAACCATAAAAAAATACCAATCGTCCTACATCCCTGCTGACATCCCAAGCCATACCCCTCCAGAAGCTCCAGGAGACCTGTGCCAGAGCTTGTACTGCAAAATCAATTATGCAACAAGGTCTGCTGCAGGACTGATCATAAAGCTTCCAACGGCCAGGTCCACAGTTTGGCATGCAAAGTAATTTTTTAAAAGATAACTATATTTCTCCAGTACCTGCTTCAA